GCCCTTGGTCAGCCCTGGACCGCTGAGCAGACCCAGAAAAGCCAAACACAGCTCAAAGGCCATCCCCTCTCCACTGGCACGAGGCAACCTGGGAGGCTCTGAGCTATGCCAGGAGGGGTGCAGAGCTGGGAAACACCTCTGAGAAATTAGGGTGACGATGCAAACCACTGCCTTCCCCCTTCTTGGGGGACCAAGAAGACATCTTGGACCAAGATGTCATCTCTGGACCAAGCAGAGCAGATATCAGCTGATATAAGCTGATATCTTAGCAGAGCAACCATTCCCTGGGGTCTGCTCAAAGCCACACGTCCCTGGGGTCAGGCCAGGCTCTGTTCCCAAAGCTGGGGAGAGGGGACACCCCGTTTGGGTGTGGGTGGGTGACCCAGCCCCTCGCCCACCCACCCATGTGGTCCCATCTGACACTGCATGGCTGCCATGGGAGGGATGGAGGGAGCTTGGGATGTCCCCAGGACTCAGGAAGTGTCTTTCCAGAATTTACCACCCCAAGGGCTGGCCAGGCCAAGCTGGGAAAGCCCTGCAGCACCCAAGGTCCTGTTGCTCAGCCTGGCAGAGGAGCCCTGCTGCACCCCCTGGAGCTGTTTACCTGCAGGGCCCTGCTCCAGCACCTGGAGGTGAGGGCTCCTGGCAGGTCAGCTGGTGCTTTTTCCACAACAAAGCCAAGGGCTGCTCCTTTATCTTGTTCTCCCTCCCCTATTATCAATAGTTTTTCTGGTTCAACTGGATTTACCTGCTACCACAACCCCAAGAAAGGGAGAAGGTCCACACAGAGGAGGCAAGGAGGGGAAACCTCCCACTCTGCCCCCAAGGCTTGCTCCAAACCTCTCAGCAACTGAAGAACATTAACAGCACCTGCTGAGTCCCCAGCACAGAGCTTTTAGTGCTGACCTGGAGCAGGCACACAGCTCTGCCACACTCCCACAGCATCCCACCAGCCACAGAAGCTGGAGAGTAACATATCCAGAGGGAGCAAGTCCATGCTGGGAAGCTGGGTGCTGTTATCCAGCTCTGGCTGCTCTGTGCCTGTTCCCTCCCTGAGGCAGGAGTGACAATATGGATGTGCCACCACGGCACGAGGCTGCCCTGGAGCTGTGTGTGGCACACACAGTGACTCCCTCCAGCACCTGGTTGGGTTTGGGGTTGGCTGCCACCTTTAGAAGGTACCTCAAAGCCCAGGACACGGTGCAGAGCCCACCCTGTCCCTGCTCCTGGCAGGGCCAAACCCAGAGAGGATCCAGAGAGCAGGGCTGCACTGACCAGGAGCAGGGACCAGATGGGCTTTGCACCACTCACTTGTCCCCAAAATGCATCCCTGTCCCCCAGCAAGGCCATGTCTGCTTCCTCCTGCTCCATCTGCAGTCAAGGAGTTGTGCACACACAGCAGGACAGGGTGGGCTCTGCTCCTGCTCTACAGGTGGGCAGACACACTGAAAGAGGGAAGAGGTGGAAATGAAGCAATAAATTTGAATCCCTGCCAGGAAGATGACACTGTGAGGGCTTCTGGGTGACAACTGGTTTTGGTTTCTACAGTCTGGTGGGGAATATTTACAGGCTGTTAACTCTTGAGGAACCCCAGGAGGAGTCTGGCACAGCTGTAATAACAGTTCATGGTACTCACCAAGAGCTTTTGAAAATAGCAGGGCTGACAAAACAGCAACTTCTGGACATGCTGAGGCACACATTTATTTATCCCCCAAATCAAATGTCTCTGTTTAAATCCTGCAGCCCCCAGAGCTCTGCTGGCAGTGGGGAATCCACTGGTGGCTGGCACTGGGTACTGTGTCCTTGCAGGAGGAGGAGTGGCTGTGTCTGAACATCCCTCGGGATGCCAGACCTGATCCCACCATCAGCCCCGCTGCTTGTGCAGCCTTCACCTCCACGCCACGCTGCAGGAGCAGAGGCCACGGCTTTACACACACCCTGTGACTGCGAGGCACCAAACCTCTGCTCCGCGTGTCCCCTCACTCCCCAGGGAGCTGCAGGGCTGTGGCACACCAGGATGTGCCAGAGCCGGCACAAAGACAGATCCCTGAACAGGAGCTGCCACCTGGTGGCACAGGGACAATCTTGATGTCGTGCCAACCACGGAGACCTGGATTTCAGGGTGTCCCTGCATCGTGGCACTGAGCAGGCTGGGGCTGCTACAGCACAGCCCTGCAGTGCTGCTTTCACCCTGGGACACTCACCCTGCTGGAACTTGCAATCCTGAATCCTGGCTCTTGCCAAGGGTGCTCCAGCTGTAGCTGCTCTCCACAGGCTTTGTTCCATTTGTGCCAGGCTGGAAGTTGGCAGGGAAATGCCACCTCCGACCCTGTTCAGCTTGCTGTGGCCATGCTGGACCTGATGCCACAAGATCAGGTGGCTCTGGTGAGGCACAGCTGGACTTGTGCTCCAGGGAATGTGTCCCAGTGCCAACCTCAGCCAGCCCACAGTGGGACGGGATGCCTTGGTGCAGGGGGACAGGAGCAAAGTGAGGAGGTGAGGGGGACCATCAGGTCAGAGTGGCTTTCCTGGCATCAGGAAGGATGTGGCTTTGAGCTCGCTGGGAAACTTCAGGCCAAGCCAAGATTATCCCTGATAACATCACACTCAGCTGTGCTGAGAGAAAAGCCTGGAGGGAACAGGCTCTGGGGAAATCCTCCTGAGAATTTCCTTCCCTTGCCTCTGGGAAGCCTCTACACCAGGGAAAAGCGTGGGCTGGGGGCTGCCAGCCCATCCCAAAGCCCCCTCACCCACTGGGGAATCCTTGCTCAGTGGGACTCAGCCCCTTTCTGCTTCCCAAAGGACAGAGGAACAAAAGAGGAGGAGGAGGGGAGGGAAAGGTCTAAGAGAAACTCCTTCCAACTTCTGGGGAAGAGAAAAGCCCTATTCAGGCAGGAAGAATACCCGGTGGAGCCGGTCACTAAGCAACCCACAGCAATGTGGTGTGGCCTGAGGGACAGGCAAGGAACAAAACTGCCTCACTGCCCACCCACAGCCCACCAGGGAGAGCCTGCAGGGCCTGGGGACAGGCCACACCACCAGGGCCACCTGGGGACAGAGTGCACAGCCACCACGAGGGGCTGAGGCATCCAGCAGGTCCGCAGCTCCTGGCTGCAGGAGTTTCTCCTCAGGCAGCTCTGGATGGTGACCAGCCTCACTCAGGCTTCCCTGTTTGCTGCTCGGGAAGGATTTCTGCTCTGCTGCAAAGCCCGTGGGCCTGGCATTCCCACAGGGCTGCATCATCCCAACAGAGGCACCGTGCATTTCGGACAGCTCCCTGCTCCCACGGGCTCCTGATGTGCACAGCAGCCAGGCACAGGGCTACACCCTCTCCAGAGAAGCTGAATTCTGCATTTAGATTCTCACTGTGGGCGGTTGTCCTTCACAAACAAGCTCAGTGAGACATGAGAAACTGCCCGGCCTCTCTGCAGCACAAGGAAAAAGGGAAAAGGAAATCAAGCCTGACAAACCCTGCTGACAATCCCGGCTGAAATGCCTTCCTTGGAGCCCAGAGAGTCCCTGGAGACACTGCTGCCCCCAACAAAAACGCTGCAGAAATGGAAAAACAGTCACAACCAAGCAGGTCTGGTGAGTGTGCGGCTGGTTAAGCCCAGGGACATGCTCTGCACCTGCTGGGACACTGGAGGTGGCTTTGTGCCTGCACAGCGTCATGTGGGAAACAGCCAGCCCTTCATGCATTTCTCTTGAATATCTGATACACTTGGACAGCAGTTGCTGGGACAAGGGCAGACTTGCCAGGTGTTCACCCACTTCCTCAGGGAGGTGTCTGGCTGGTGCTGATCCCTGTCCTGCAAGGTGAACAGCTGGAGGATGCTCAGGTGTGTCCACACAAGCTGCAGAGCTTCTCCAAATAAAATAATCTCATTATCCCTCAGTCCTGTACTCTCCTGGCTTTGCCATCTGTTGTATCTCAGCCATTAAACGTCAATTCTGGGTGCACTAAATAACCACAACCCACAGGGCTGCACGAAAGATCAGCTTGGCCAAAGTAGTGCCATTTATTTTGGTTACAAAACCCCTTCCAGGAGGCCAGCATGCTCCAGGTGTGCTGGCTGCAGCTGGGCCCCTCTCAGCACCACGGGGGACAGGCACTTCAGCCAGCAGCAAGGACACATGGCATCCATCCCTGGACTTGGAGAGCTTCCACCTCTCCTCCCAACAGGACAAACACAGAGCCCTGGGCACAGCTGGAGCCAAGCATGATGAAGTCCAGCTATGCAAGGACTTGGCACATCAGGTCCATGCCACAAAATTCACATTTTGTGCAGCCAGGGGAGCCCTGGGGCAAGAGGCACAGGTACAGGAGGTCTGCTGCACCATGGAGAGCAGCTACCTGCCCCGGAGTTGATGGCAGTGCTCCTCTGGAAGTGTCATAGCAAGGCCACACATGGTAGCAGAAGTGAAACCCATTCTCTCTCAAATCAGTCACCTGGATGTGTCCAGTCCAACCTTTTTATCTACAGGGAGAAGAGTGAGTGCAGCCCTCCCCGTCAAGAAATTAAATAAACCTGAAACAAAATCTGTGTTTCCACCTCCATCCATTCCAGCTCCCCAGGGAGTTTGTTTAGACAATATCCAGCTCCAAAATGGACATTGCTAATGGAGAGGATTCACCCAGAAGAGAAGTGGCCCCAGCCTGAGGAGCATCTCCTGGCAGAGAGAAAACCTGAATTACATAAAGGAGCATATCCTGGATTGTGCTCTCATAACACCCATGCCTACAACAACCAGCAAGAGTCCTGCAGCACATCCAGGTGGGACTTTGTTGGCAGGCTGCATTTTCCTGTTGGTCTTTGGGTCTGCAGCATTCATACATTTGTTGAAGTGCTGTGAAATAACAGAGGTGCTGAAGGAGGGAAATGTCTTTGTGGGGATGAAATGTGCCTGGCAGTCCAGAGCTAACCTTGGCTCTGGTGGTTGTCTTCTGTTCCCAGGGAGGTGTTGTTGAAAATTCCCAGGCAAACTGGCCCTTGCTGCAGTCAGATTCTCAGGTAAAGTTTCATGATATTCTCATCATGAAGCCTTTTCCACACCTGCTTCTCCAGGTTGAAGTCATGGTTAATGTAGAAAATCAGCTTTTTCCAGTCCTTGTCATAGTAGTGATCCGAGTACTTCTCGTGCCCCTCCGTGATGTAGCCATAGGCACTGACCTGGGAAAGATGCAGGGCTCACTGGGCAGGGCTACCAGGGATGGAGGGAGCAGGTGAAATACAGGACAGAGATGCCAGCTGGGGCTTCTCTGGTGACCCTGTGTGGGGGTCCAGAAGGACCAGCCTGTGAGCACTGGCTCCAGAGATCCTGCTGTCCCCTCACTGCCTCCCTGGGAGTTCATGTGCTCTAGGTCACAGCAGGCCTCACCACCTCTGTGGGAGCTATTTTGGGGCTGTTTCTCATCTTCAGTCTGCTCCTCCACAGCTGACATGAGCCCATGGACTCTCGAGGCAGACAGCAGCCACCCCTGCTCTCCTCTGTCCCCTGTTCCCACTTCCAGACAATTCTGGGTGCAAGAACCACTGTACCCTTACCCGGTCACAGAGATGGAGGGCAGTCAGCAGCAGGAAGGCCCCTGTTGTGGGTCTGTACAGCCTCCAGTAGTGCTTTTCCAAATTTTTAGACTTTAAAAACCTGCAGCAGGAGAGAGGAAAGCACTGAGGAGTTGCTGGCTGTGGTGTTCCGAGCAGGACACACTTTGTCCCCCTGTGGCCTCTTCCCTCCTTGCAGCAGCTTGGGGCCATACGAGGCATTTCAGAGAAGCCACAAGTGTGCCCAGAACTCTCCACCACCTGCACTGCCACCTAAGCCCAGCTCTGCCCCAGCTTTGTGGAAGGGGTAGGTCTTGAGGCAGTGGGGGTAAAGAGGGGATGGATTAAAGGATCTCATAGGTTAAAACCCACTACTCTTAAATCTGCCCTTTGCTTCGCAGTGCAGAGGTGGCTTTGGGGCTCCCTAGTATATCCTGCTCCCCACCCACATCCAGCAGTGAAAAGAGACACAGGGAAGGTGCAGAGGAGTGTCACAAAATCTGCCAGGAGCTGCACTGTGTCATGCCAGGAGTTGTTAGGAAAGTAGGAGTAAACACTGGGAAAAAACAGCATGGAGTCCTCTTGGCCTTGGAAAGGCCCCAAGTCAGAGGGGGGATGGCAGAGCAGGCAGGGAGTGCTGGCCATCTGGCTCCAGGGAAGGCAGCAGCTCTCAAGGAGACTGAAGGGTAAAGGCAGCCAAAGCAGGGCACTACAGGAGCTCCTGTTCCTCCATCTCTAGGCCCGTGATGGGCACATCTCATGGTGACAGTGGCCAGCAGCCTTGTGTAGAGGGTTGGAGAGGCACAGAAGAGCAGGAGCCAGGCCAGGAAAAGGGGATGCTGAAGAAGAGCCTGAGGGCATAACCAGCCTCCAGAGTCTAGAAGGAATCTCTGCAGAGAAAATCTGTTACAGAGCCTTCCTCCAAGGTGCCAAGCAATGGGGAACAGGAAAAGCCAGTCCTGAACTCGATATCAACTACCCTGGCACTTCAGCAGCATTCTTCCTACACCTAAAGTTGCAATTGGCCCTGGGTCTCTTTTGGATGCAGGAAACCAAACAGTCTGATGGCTGTTGCTTTTCCAGCTCACAAGTTCTGGATGTTTACCCACCACTAGCATCCCACTGCAGCACCACAGAGAGTTTCAGCTGAGCTCAGGCTGCTGGTGTGGCTGAACTGTGGGGACAGGGGAGGCAGCTGGGAGGAGAGGCCAGAGACAGAGAGATGGTGCTGGCCAGGAAAAACAAGCCTGTTAGAGCACACAGCCCACAGCTCACCTGTTTTTCATGTATCTGAGGAAATCAGGGTGAGCCACCAGGTATTTGTCCATTGTGAAATCTTCATTGAATTTCTGCCGGGGCTTCTGCCTAAGGACAGGAATGGGGAGACTCAAAACAATCTCCTACACCTCATCACAGCTGGAAAGGATCAGCCCTGGTGCACTTGGTGGTAAGAGAAGGACCACAAACACTGCGAAGATATTCTGTAACATTTCCCACATTACGACAAAGCCTCCACAGCCTGTGTGCATTGCAGAAGAAGAGCTCAGGGAGGAGAGGCAACAAAAAGAGACAGGAATATCAAAAGCATGTGTTTGTATAGGCAAAAATTAGTGAAACCAGGCCTTCATCCACGAGCAGGCCACACCAGGCCAGCCAGCAGCCTGTGCTCATCCCGAAAAATCACAAAGCTTTCTCTAAGCTCTGGCCACACATCATTGAAGGAGGTGTATTGACCACAGCAATGCTCAGAGCTGTGGAGGAATTAGAGATTTCTGTCTGCCAGGGGAGGGAGGCTTTACCCTGGCCTGGTCCTCACAGGGCTGAGCACTGGGAGAGGAAAGGAGCCCAACAGAGAGCTCGTCACTGGAGGGGTAGAGGGGGCTAAAGTTTGTTTTACCCGCCGAGGTTCAAGAATCCTTTCCTGATGTTCTTGTTCAACAGAAGGGCCTTCAGCCACTCATAGTCTCTTGCTCCCTCCAGGAAGTGAATGTATCTGACGTGCTAAGAAAATGAGTATTAGTGAACAACGCTTCCAAAAAAGTGCAAGCAGAGGTCTGGGGTCACTGAGTTTCTTGGGCACACATCTTCAGTCTGCAGCTCTCAACCAGCCCACAGCAAAAAAATGGAGAAAACATCTGAGGAGCAGCTCTGTCTACATGCCACAAGGCTGTGGATGTGACAGAGAGAAAGCCAGATAAACTTTCCCAGGAATTGTTCTGGGGAGTTTTGAGAAGGCTGAGAGAAAGAATTAAAATAGTGCAGCTGGTGTTTTGAACAGCTGTTTTCTCATAAGACATTTACCAAAGGTGAACATTGGTACTCATTAACATTAATTAGCCAGTGGTGTGAAGGGGTGTTAGTTAAGTGACCAATCAAGTCCACCTGTATCAGAACAGTGTATAAAGAGAATGGGTTTCTAATAAACTCGAATCAGCCTGCTGAAGAGAGTTAGAGTTTGTGTGTTGCCTTCACTCCTGTTCCTGACTCAAAGGTGACACAAGGCTGGGGTGGCAATGACACAACTTGCCATGTCAAACAGTCACAATGAGCCAAGGCAGTGCAGGTTCCCTCCTCAGGTTAATGCCAAAGGGCTGCCTCAGCCCCTTTGCTCCTCATGGCAAGAGCAGAACTGAAGCACACAGACAAACAGCATGCTGTTAAAGCTGTGCATGCACACAGCAGGGACCTCACTCACTTCATCCCACGGGATCTTGCTGAACCCTCTGTGTCCCAAGATCTGAAGAGAGGAAACCAGGGAGAAGGCCGTGAATCCATAAAAGGAGGTTTTTGTTCCCACATCTTTTTCATAACCCTTGATTACGGCCCCACTGACCCTGGCAAAGGAAATCAAACAGAGGAGCAGAGTTAGGTGACCACTGAAACCCCTCCCATGCACATTCCTAATAGGAAAAGACAGTGTTAGCCTGGAGGAAGGGTAGACTAGCCCATTCTGACTGGCACCCTGATCTGCAGGAGAGCCTCTGCTGTGGAGATGGCTCTTTGTGGCTCATTTGTGACCACAGGCTTTGGATATTGAGTAACTTCCCAATTATTTTTGGACTTTTTATCTCCTGCCAGCCATCATTTTGGCACTTGGGAATGAGTGGAATACTAGAAGAGATGAAGTGCTCCAGCCACAGTTAGGGGCAAGCCACAGTAAGCTAGCTGTGCATCTTCTGAGGAGGAAGGCAGCCTTACCTGAAGACATAGTCATGGGAGTCAATCTCCTGGCCCATCCCAGAGTTATTCAGTATTCCTCCATTCCCCACAACAGCACAGCTGATGCAGGTGGGCACGCTGCTGTCATGGTTGGCCAGAAGCAGCTGCTGGTGGGGCTGTGGGGGCAGCAGGGATATGACCTCCTTTACCACTGTGAAGCAAACACAGTGGTGAGTTATCAAGAGCCTTAGGGATGGTCACAGTGAAACCACCAGAGTTTCCCCCATGAGATCCTCCTAGACTGATGCCTTTGGTGGGGAGATGCTGCAAACCCCCAGCTACTCAGCATAAGCTTCCTGTTAGGAGTCTGAAAGTCCCATCCTGACAAGCCCTGAGGGACTCACGTGAATAATTCAGATCCATGAAGCCATAGGGGGGTATAAAATGCTCCAGGCGGTTCCATTCACTGTCACTGAAGTATCTCTTGTCCATGAAGAGTGTGATGTTGGGCAGGAAAAGATCCTGCAGCCAGGCAGACTTGGCAGCCCTGGCCCTCACTGATTCAGAGCAGGTCTTGAAAAGCAAAAAGGAAACAGTAATGACTGATGAGCAGAGTGATAAACCTGACTGAGTGCCAGTGCTTGTGTGCCTGTCTGTGGCAGGACCAAAGGGAAACTCCAGTGATACCACTCCCATCATGGTCCTCACCACCAGAACATGAAACACAATTTTAGCACTACATCCATAACCAGCTGGTGAAAAGTCACCTACAAGGGAGCCAGGATGACTCCAAGCCTCTGAGACTTTCCTCTTCAGAACAACAGGCCTGTTTCAAATGTTTCAAATGTTTCAAATGTTTTAAATGTTTTAAATGTTTCACTGTTTAAAATGTTTTACTGTTTTAAATGTTTTACTGGCTTTGGGCCTCATTAGCTGATGCAAATTAACATTTGAAATAGGTCTAACCTAAATGCATCAAATAAGGCTGTAGGCACTAGGAATATGCTGCAATAACATTTACAAGCTATAATGAGCAGTCCCTGCTGGCAATGCACCTCACAAGGTCCTGAGAGTCCACCCAAGGAAACACTGATGAACAAATGAAACCAGATCAGCATTGCCACTCCCTTTAAGGGTAAAAAAAAATGTGCAACAACTTGTTCAATGTCATAAATAAATCAGTGAAATGTGCAGCTGAGAAGGGAATCCAAGCCAGCTTATCCTACAAGGGAGGTCTCACTGTAGCTGGCAAGAGTGAGGCTGTGTGTGCAGATGGAAAGCAAACAGCTCCACTACACTGAATTTTCTGCTGAGTCAATTCGGGCTCTGCTTTCTTAGCCACCTTCCCCAAACACCTACTGAAAGGCAAAATAGAGACCAAACGGACCCTCGTGCCCAGCTCAAATCCCTGCATTGCCAAAGCCTTGCTGAGTGCTCCATGGCTGAGCTGGGCTCTCTGCAGTGCATGAGGATGACAGCCCTGTCACAGCCTGAGGAGACAGCCCTCATTCTGCCTGTCAGCACAGGAGCACACTGAGCACAGCACTGGCAGGGGCTTCATGGTGGCATCATTTCACTCACAGCGTATTTCATGTCCAGAAACAGGGACATTCCTGTCCTGCTCAAGCAGGTATGTCCAAGGCTTGGTACTTCTTGTGCCTCCTGAGCTAGACTGGATCAGTACCAGAGGAACAAGGGAAAACTCTGATCATGCAGGAAATTAAGGAGGGAGAGTGTTCCTGATGACTCTCTCTCTCTGCAGAATTACAGATCAGGTTTGGGAGTGAGACACAACATCTGAGAAGGTGACCCACCTGTTCAAGGCTTCCAGAAACAGGGGTTCCGGGGAAAACTGCTCTGGGTGAGCTTTACAAAGACTTACCAGCATAGGATGGGGGACAGAGACATATGAGACACCACAACCTCTCCCAGCTGCTTGCTGACTTTGCTGGAGTTCACTACTTTCCTAAAGGCCCTGTTCCTGGATATTAGTAATTAAGAGATGCTCAAATTTAATTAACCTGGGTCTTCATCTGAATAAAGACGTTGTATATAGAGGTCTTCTTGTCTGGGTTCCCAGCAGCATCTGCATATACCAATGAGTGACCTACCAGCTCTGAAATCATCCCCAGCTGCAAAGGGCACACACAGCCAGGGCAGCAGACAAGGAGGTCAGTGAGGAGGCACCATTCTTGGTGACCATCTGCACCATCCCACCTACCGAGGGCGGGGATGAGTTATCCAGCAGGTACTGATCCTCGAAATCCCACTGTGGCTCAGATGTGAAGTTAGCAGAGCTCAGTTTCCTCTTCTGTGTCACAGCAGCAGCCTGAGGAGCAGGTCCTACAGTTTTCATTGATGCAGGAGGTGCTTTGGGTTTTGCTTGGTCTTTGGTTGTGTTCTCATGTGCTCCCTTCACCCCAGAGGATGGTTTCACTGTTGCCTTCTCCTTGCCTCCCTTCTCCCTGAGAAGTGGTTTCACTGTTGTCTTTTCCTTGGCTTCTTCCACCCATGGAGCTGGCCTCACTGTTGTTTTCCCCTTGTTTCCCTGGACCATAGGGGTTGTTTTCACTGTTGTCTTCTTGACTCCCTCCAGCTGGGGTGGTGGTTTCACAGCCATGTTCTCCTTTGCTTCCTTAACGCTCATAACTGGTTTCATTTTTTCCTTCTGCTCCTCCTTTCCCGTCCATCTTGGTGTCTTCTCCACCACATCTTTGAGTATTATGATGTATCCTCCTGAAGTCACCTTTAAAATGCCCCCGGAGTTCCCATTATCAGAATAGTTTAAACCCTGTTGCTCTTGGTGGTCCACTTGTTGTGTCTCTGGGGCATGTTGGAAAATGTTCAATTTCCTGAATGCAATCAAAGGAAAAGCAGATTCATCACACACACTTAACACTGAACACCCTTCAGCTCATTTCTAGTGCTCTTGACTCTCAGCCTCTCTCTGTGCTTTAGAGCAATTTCATTTCAAACTTTGCCAAAATGTTACTCAACTTCCTGCACCATTCTAGCCTGAATATTGCTTATCTCCGCAGCAGGCAAATCCCAGAGGCACACATTCTCTCCTCAGCACTTGGCACATGAAACATTCACACTGGCAGGAACAGCCCAGCTTTGCCACACACTGGGCAGGCCCCCTGGCAATGTCCCCGGAGCACTGCAGGGTTGGTTTGGAGATCCTGGGCTCAGGACGTGGCCCCCACCATGGAGGCAGCCATCTGCCTCTCCCCTCTGCCAGCAGAGCCCTGTGATTCAGCAGCACAGCATCAAGATCTTCCAGAATTCAGGAAGTCTGAGAAGAAGTGAAACTCACTTCTTTACCCTACATCACCTCTTGAGTTTTGGGAGTCACAGGGCATTTCTTTCTCTTTTCTTCTGCCTTGGTCAGGTAATGCAAAGGCATCACACTCACCAGGCACATGTCTGAAGGCAGACACTGTGAAGCTATGAAAATGCAAAATCTCTACATTTTTAGCACTTGCCTCTAATATTGCAGCTGCCCTGTTGCCTGATTCAGAGGCACAGGCAGGTACAAGGTTGTCACAGGACACATCTGCCAGCAGCAGAAGAGCCACCTGCAACATGACTGTGCTGAAACCCAGAAAAAAAAAATCAAGGTAGAAGTGGTGGATTTTTGTCCTAAACATTCCCTCTTCTCTGCGTATGGCTGGAGGGTAGAACGGGAAAAAGGAAGGTGAACAATATCTGCAGCTGAGCTTTTGTGTACAGCAAAGCTTTCCAGGACAAGCCATGGCTGTGGCAGTCTGATCCCACACTCACGTTCAGCCTTTGCATGACGCACTCGTTTCGGAACGCTGTGGATTGCTTCCGAAGTGACAAATGGGACAAAAAGCACTTCTGCAGATAACAGGCTGCAGATAGCAGCTCAGTTGCTGCTGAAATTTAATGGATGTTATACCGCTTTGAAAGCGTTCAGGAAATGATCAGCTAAGGAGGCTTTTAAAAATCGTTTCATATCAGATAAATGCGTGAACCTTTGCAAGGCTAAAAAGGAGAGCTTGTAGCAAATGGCCTTTCAGCTCTGCCTCTCTCATAATCATTAGCCAGTTTCAACCAAGTGTGCAACACGTGCTTTCTATCATAGTGCTTCTTGTATAAACTTACTGTCACTGTTTACTGCCCAATAGGAGGAAAGATTTTATATGGACACTCTAAATAAAGAGAAATTTGGTAAGGTAGCTCAGACAGATCTTAAATCCCTTGGAGAATTTCTGTTGTATTTTAACATGATTTTTAAAACTTCAAAATTAAAGCGTAGAGAACAAATGAAACAGGAGTTTCAATATGAGAAACCATCCTCCACTCCAGGCTTTCCTTAAGTGCTGTCTTGCAGGGTAGATTCCACCTCAGTCTGTTACACTTCAAATGCTGTGCCAGACACCAAAATGTAAAAGCAAGGACTCTTCACATCCCAAACCTTGCTGCCTGCAGTCAGGCCCACATGGCCAGGCACTTGTGCTTACACAGGACCCTGCTCTCCTGAACAGCATTTTAAATCCAGACAAATTGTCAAAGCAGCTCGGTGAATTTCAGGCTCTAGAGTCCATTTGGCAAACAACTGCAGAAGCTCAATGACATTTACTGTCATTTTCTTCCCCTTTTACAAAGCCCAAGGACAAATAGAGGATAAAGCCATGAAAATGCTGCTTTGTGTATTCTACGTGACATACAAGGTACAGAAATAGAACTGCCACACAGACAACCACACACAGCTCATATCTTGTTATGTTTTACTTAAATTGTACAAATACAGGCATATCCATTCTCTGAAACTACAGTAGAAGGAAATGGCTTCAAGCAGCTAAATATGGAGAGCCACTTCTTGCTCCAGTTCTGCCACTGATGGGCCCTGGGATCAAGGAGAACTCCACTTCTCTACACCTCCTCCTTCTCTCCTTTCCCTCCCACCTCCCTTCTGCAGGTTCCAACCTCTCCACATTTGACAGCTGTCCTCAAAGCGTGGTCTCAAGCTGCTAGAGCTGAGCTGAACTCGAGTCACCTCCAGAAGAGCTGCAGATGTTCCCAGCCTCACTCCTCCTGCCTGCCCCCATAGCACCAGCCCAGACATTCAGCTGAGAACCAACCCAACCCAGCCAAGCCATGTGAGCTTCCTGGGAGAGCTGGGACCAGATGAGGGTGGTGGGGAGGCTGGGCAGTGGTGCTTCCATACACAGCACCAACACATCAACAAGCCATGCCTGTACTGGGAAAGGCTCAGATCTCTCCAAGGGCTCATGCAAGGAGCAATGCCCCCTGCCAGTGATGCTGGAGACATTTCACTGCAATTCCCTCCATACCCATTCCTGTAGGATTTACTTGACCATTTATATAAAATAGATATCAATATATCATGTCTACATGACACTGGTGTGCCAGTATGCAGAGTGTTTTGTGTTAGGAATCAGCTGCTGAACTTGCCATAAATTCAAAGCCATCCCACCAAATTCACCGTCCACCAATGCAATCTGGATTAGGGCTGAGTAAGGTCCTTCTGGGAGCCAACAGGAAAAGCAAATACTGTGTAGTGCCAAAGTAGGAAAACTAGGTAGGGTTAGTGAAGCAAAAGCTGCTTTAGACAGCTACAAAAGCAAGCCCTGGAAAACAGTGAGCCAAGAGAGGCATGTTTTTGACTGTGGATCTTCCACCACCATGCTCTACTAAAGTAAAGTGGTCACCTAACTCAGATCAGAAGTGCAAGTTTCAGGGTAAAAAAGACAGAGGGACAGAGAGAGAAAGCGAGCACGAGCACCCACACTGGGCAGCGCGTGCCGTGAAGGAACAGGTCCCTTACCTGAAAATCTTTGTCCTCGCCAAGTCAAACAAGGAGCTGGAATTGCCAAAGAAGAGGCAGAACTGTGTTACAGCAAAGAGGCAAAGCAGGGCTTTGGCAATTTTGGGAAGCCTTATCCTGGGGCAGCGCATGGTGAGGTGCCCGTGGGTGGCAGAGGCGCTGGCCAGGCACCGCCTCACCAAGGAGTGTGGAAGGACTGGGCTGGCAGCGATGGAGAGAGATGGGGAGATGACTCAGTGATCAGAATCCGGGTTTATTGTGGGATAAAAATGTTTATATACCGTTTCAAGGAGACTAGTAATGTGTGCTGCAATGATTAGGTTAAAATCACATAGACAAACTTATGCACATAACAACATCTCTTGCTTGCAGAGTTTAATGGGATTTTCTTTTTTTCCGGTGATTTAGTCTTTCAGTTTGATTTAATCTTTCAGTTTGATTTAATCTTCTTGCAATCTAGGTCTAATTTTCAAAGTTCCATTTGCTTTTGCCAAGGTATCGTCTTATAAAATCTCTTATATTAACCAGGTCCAAAGTCCATGATTTGTCTTGTGTCCCCCACCACCCTAACACTAGGCTGGTCTTCCCTCTGGATTTCCCTACAACAGTGTGCACACCCTGTCTCCCAGCATTCCCAGACACTGCACACACATCCAATTTCTCAGGCAAGGCATCAGTTTTGTCTTGTTCCCATTTATCACCAGAAGCTTATTTATCAAAGAGCGGGGAAAGGAAAGCTTTTTACTGCAAACAATGGAAGTTTCCTGTATTTTTCTTAATGACATTGGTCTGCCCTAAAATGAAAACCTTTTATCTCTAACCTGGAAGAAGCATCACTGGGAATGCATGGGTGGAAGTGACCATAGTTACAGTTCAGGAAGCTTTCAGATCACCACCTGCCCAAGGTTTTAGATATAACCATAAACATATATTCTTCATGGAGTAATTGCTTGCAGCTCCAATCCAGAAGCACTCCCTGCCCCCTAAATGCTGATGGCTAGATATTGGGAAGGATGAAAGTTTGACAAGAAAGTTTAACAGATATGTATGCTTGGCAGAAAGATTTTGAATGTAGAATCTGAAGAAGGACTAAAAATGAAAGCAAGTTTTGATGTAGGAGAATCATAGATGTGTAAATTGACGATTGCTGAGCCAGTTTTACTGGCCAATTAAGAAGGCAAAGGTTATGTTGATATGGAAAGAGGTTGTATGACTTAGAGCAAAGGATAAACCCACCTCAAACGAGATGTTTTCACCAAGCAGAAAGATAGCACAGGCAAACAAGGCTGCTGATGTTGCAAGTAGAAAAAAGGTCTCAGAATTTCCAACTGCAAGAAAACTGAAACCCAACTTCTAGCTTAAACTGTAACATACTAACTTTTAGTGATTGGATAATAGGAACGTGAATATGGTAATTACAGTCGTTATGATGGGCTATAGGTAAAAGCTAAGGTATAGATTGGTTCTTCTGTATTAAGATGCTCAGCAAAGAAAAGTATATAACGCATTGTAACCAAGACTAAAGGGTCTCCAGGCCTGCCTGCAGCTGGAGCTGACAGCTGTAGGCACAGGCTCTGTCACCCACGAGCCTGGACTGCTCTAACATCTTGGATAGAATAAACTGCATTTTGAAGAGCTGCCTGGAGTCCTGCATCTCTCCTTCAGGCTCTTACTGCTAGATACACATCCATTCTACTTTGTGGTTGGGAGGCAACCCAACAAATCAAAGTAAGACTTGGTGCAAATCCACCACAGAAAAGAGGAGTTTGTGTTATGAAAATCCCCAGTCAGTGTGAAGTCAATCTTTGGCAGACAAGAGTACATCACCCCACCAGCAGAGGAAAATATTTGCAAAGATGGACACCACAGCCAGAGAAATGTTTACTTCTACCAGGGATGTAGTTTTACAGCAAAGGGCTATTCTAACTCTTTATGTTGTTAAACATTAACCTTGAAATTTCAATGGGTGATGGCCATATTGCTTCTTAGGCATTGGCTGATTTTGCACAGCTCTTATAAAAAAATGAAGCTCAGATATAAAAAAAAGCTTTTGCTGACAGTATCTCAGATCTCAGAAGCACTCACACTGTTACTGAATACCCAGAGAGCTGAAGGTGCCTGTTTTATATCACAGCAAAGCCAGTCAACAGGTTTCACAACTACAAGAATTTTTTTGTTAATAGGGGTCCCAAAGGGAAATTCTGGAGGCAGGAAACATATTCCTTCAATCTCCTCCATGTAACATTACTGCAAAACCAAGAGCCACAAGGGACAGAAAAATTCCTACAAGCAGAAAAACATGGATTTCTTTGCTTTTAAGGATCTGCGCTGGTAATTGTGGAGTCTGTAGCACTGTCTGTTCAGGAGGGATTGTGCTTGGGGGAATATCCAAATCTCTGGCAAGCACATTAGCCAAAAGCAGGCTTGGTATATGCAAAACAGGGCTTTTCACCTTCTTGGTGTAAGAAAAGAAAACCTAACCCCCACTAGTCAGAGTAGAGACTTTCACTTCCCTGGAGCATCATTTCCTCACCATCCACCCCCACTGCTGAGATCAGTCTGTCAGAGCTGAGGCACCAGGCTGGTGTGCTCAAACATGAGGTCAGATTGGGCAATGGGGATGTACTGGAACTCTCCAGGGATGACCTGGTGAAAACTGAGGTCAAGATCAGAGCTATCTCTTAAACAGCTCTATTAGAAGTGAGATTCTTGGGATACACAGGGCTCCCAGCCCTGGGCAGGAAGGTACAAAGCAAAGACTGCACAGTGCACAGGGCCTGGCCTCTCAAGGCCACAGCATCCTTGTCCAAATGCATGCTTCTCTGCAGTCCTACCTGCAACCCCACCTGCAATCTCAGGAGATGCTGCTTCATTTATGGTGTACACACTCCAAGCCCAGCACTGCTGGTGTGTCCAGTCTCAGCATCAGTGCCCACAGCAGAAGTTTTTCCATTCTTCAGTACTGTAAAAACAAGATGACTTTTTCATTTAAGCAAACTGCACCTGGGATCATCGAGTGAAGATGGTTTTCTGTCAGCCCTATTTGATCTCCAATATCCATTTAATTCCACATCCACTTCACTAATCCTTAATTACATCCTGGACATATAAAAGGCAGATTTGCCTGGAGTGGTGCTTGGGGTTTCATTTGTTTTTTGGGTTTTTTTTTTTAATTTGTAAACAAACTTAATTGTCATTAAATCCTACACTGTGTGTGTTGAGGGTGTCAGCTGGCAAGCTGGCATTTAAACTGTGCCATAAACTTTTCTGTGTGCACGTTCTTCACCGGGCTGTGTACCAAACCTTGTTTACTTGCCTGTGCCTTGTGTGTTTTCCACTCTCCCATGTCTCTGGTCTACAGAACAGAACATCACAAGATGTGCTCAAGAACAGAACTGTTCTACAGATCAATGAATCTTAGCTGCAGGATAAACTTGTCTTTCAGTGATGTCTACAACCTACCAAAACCAATGTTTGATTGGAAGCCAGTGGAATAAAGCTGCTAAAGCTGGGGGTGTTTGGATATGTCCACAGTATTATTTGATGATGCAAGAGCTGAGTTTTAAGTGGGGGAGAAAAAGAATGACATTGTCTGCAGCATGCAGCAGCTCAGTGGCCATGCCTTGGGGCTAGCAAAGGCTTGGCTTAGCAACCTTAGGTTCTTGTTTCTCCCTCCCTGTTCAGCAAACACTTTCAGAAGAAAATGCTTTCAGGCTGGGAATCTGGAGGGGAAGAAATTACAAGAGCAAACTCTGCACAGCTGTTTGTCTTGCTTTCACCAAATTAAACTGATAGCCCAGAAACTCCCAAGCTTGCCATAATTCCACACTCACTGGCCATTTTCCAGCTAGTTTCTTCCCTTCTGCACCAAACATTCTCTCAAAAACTAAAGAAGCAGCCAGAGACAGCAGCATTTGTTGAAGCAAAGCCCCTACATCTTATACAGAGGCACCTTCAAGAATGCCCAGAGTTCTGTCACAGAGCAGAGCCCCAGTAAACTGCCAGGAGTGAGGGAACATCTCTGTGAGCCAACTGGTCTGTTCTCTCCATGGGGGAAAATGCTCCAGGAGGGAAAGACACTGTGGTTTTGATGGTGGAATGAGCAAGTGGCTGCTCAGGGTCCACAGAGCAGCTGCAGAGATTGCAAACCCTGTCAGCTTCTCATTAGTGCTGATTTGTGTGCTCAGTGTCCAGCCCCAGCCAGCTCATGCCCCTGTAAAGAAACTGCCTTGGATCTGTGTAGGGCCAGCAGAAGACGTGGCTCCAACCTAGATCATTTCCCCCTCTCCCACCTGGTGGGACCACGGGCAGGTTCCTCCAGCCAGTGCCCACACACCATGGAATGTCCTTGCCTGGAGCAATCACTGGGAGGTGGGGGGTAAGTGCTCTGAATCTGGCCCTGTTACAGGCTCTGGTTGCTGGAAATTGTTTTAGTTCTTTCAGTAAGCATAGTAAGGACTTGGCTTTTGAGCTGTTCCCTATGGCCACAGCTCTGGGTGATAATTAACCTCCCTGAAGAGAGTGGAGCAGACCAAATCTGCCATCAACAGCCTTTTCTGCTCCTCGAGCTCTTCACATTCACCCCATCCCACTGAATGCTCTGCTCCCAGCATTCCTTCCTCAGACACACAATGCTGAGAAGACTGATGAGCCTCTTCATTTGTGAGAATTTAAAAAACCACAGAAAAATACACTCCCAGCAACAATGGCTGGAAACATCATCTGGAGTTACACAGGCTGGAAAGAGCCAGGGATCCTTTATCCAAATGCCTCCCTCAGCAGCCTTTTTTCTGTGCCATCCCAGCAGGAAGCCTAGCACATCACCCCAGAGATGACAGACAGAGAGACAAACTGACACCACTTCTGGGTTAAGATGGATTGTGGAATTTTCTCCCCCCTTTTAAAATCTGTCTTATGGAAAGGAAGAAAAAATTCTATTCCTTGACTGGGAATCTCTCAGAGAGAGAGACTGTCCTCCAAGGAGCAGGGCAGCACTGCAGACAGGTGAAGAGGTAATTTATTAAACTCATGGCTAGTTGGCCTCCCATCAGAAAAGCAGGCTTCTCCAGCTCCTGTCCCTGACAGCTCCCAGGAATAGGATCATTCAAGGACTCTCCATGGCTCCAGAGAA